AATCATTGATTCTTTTTGAATTAAATTCGATGATTTGGGATTGATGATGGATGATTTTCTTTTTGAATTAAAACGATGATTTGGGACCTGGGTAACGTATGATAGTTTTTTCACAGATGTCTCACGAGAACGGGAACTATGCGTCAATGCCCCAGGACTCTCTAACTCTTAACCACTGAACTTATTCTAGAGAGATTCGGTACAACAATAGTCGATAGAATAGTTTTTATTACTCAAACCTTACGTGATCGGGCACTGTACTGGTAAGATCCCTGCGGGATTATTTATTTATTGAAACTACAATAAATCATTTCAAAATAGGTAAATCTTACTTGAGCACTGAATTGATTCTGGTTAATTCTGTCAGAAGTCATTAATCTACGCGGACGAAGTCGCGGGCAACAGCTAGTTGCTATTTATACAATGCTGTTGCTTCGGCAATACAACTTATTTGTGGAACACATTTATCAACTAAATAAACGTTTCTTAGTAAGAATTGCAGGTCATTGAATTTCTTTATGAACATCTACATACATATGAATGTATTTAAAAACGAATATGATGGCACATAGCTGTGCAGCAAGTTGTATACAGCATTCTAATGCTGTAATTACGAAGTAGGTAGTAACTTTCCCCTTGGTAGCCATAATGTAGCGAGCGTATAAGGAACTATCGTTAGTACCCACAAGAACGTGTAAGTAATTTTAGTTTCAACGTAAGCTGTTGTCAATTTGTCAAAAACAACTAACTAGGTAATTGCTATCACAGTACGATCAATGTTTTAATTGAACTCTCAATCTCATACATACAAACTGAATTATTGATCATGAAATGCCCAAACAGTGGTGAAAATGTAAAGTTAATTTTATTGGTGACTTGGCGTGGTGGCACTACACAATACGTTATCAAGAACAAGGCATTAAAATGAATAGAATTAACTTCGCCGTTAGTTACACAGCGGCTGTTCAAATATTATCACAAACTTGCCGATAGCTGGAATAATACTGATTGGATGTTTGCTCAGGTTACCAGGCATCACGATGACAACAAACTTGGGACCGAGTGATGCAATCAAATCGATAGCCGAATAAGGATAGGGAATTTTTGTAGCCTTTAAATGCTTCGCTGATGGTACAGATAATATTTGCTTGGCGGAACCAGAACAGCACGACTCAAAACCGGCTGCGTAAAGTTATCATGTAAAAACATTAAATATGTTAACCATCTTAAAGGAAGCAAGAAATAAGACATTATGGACCATAATTTATGGTTACAAGATATTTCTATAATAGTTTTCACGAATTTTTAATTAAGTATATGTATTTTCTTTATGTAAGGCTAAATTATAACAAGGTAATATCATAATTATAACAACCTATCTGCCCTATAAGTACGATTTAGAATAATCATTGAATTAATGCAGCGACACAGTAGATTAAATTCCACACACAATCAAACGAAATGAATCAAAACCGTTTTTAATGAATATTGTATTTGCATTCATAGTAACTAATTCAAGTCAGACGACTAGAACGAGTAAGTCATGCGAGTATAAACAAATGATTTCACTTGCGACGCATGCGTGCGCGCCTGGTGCCTGGAGGCACGTTGCAAAGCCGGCGCAGGCGCTTGTGTCCGGTCAGCGCTCAATACGAAATAGTGCCAAAGAGCCCACACACACATGCAAGTTTGCAAGAAATGCTACTTGAGTACCCGTAGGTACTAGCACTAGACTCCTTGGACTTGGTAACTCGAAATGAGATATTTTTGTACCAGGTCTAGGCTGAGCCTACGTTATCAAAATTATTTCAGTGCGTGTATGCATAGAACTCGATGTGTTATCAACTCTGCGCATTTGTGTCGCGTGATACTTGATGCCTGCAATCGCGAAGCGTTGGATTCGCAGATTGTAACAACTAGTGTGCGACGTATTAAGACATTACCTAGTTAAACTATTGCGAATGACTTGCGTAAGAGCAGAACATACCTAGGTAGTTATTAATATTTCTTGGCGACGATATTTTAGTGTTTGCTTTGGCCTAGACACGCATACATTACCTAGATTCACTGACAGAAAGAGATCAATTTTGGGAGTTTTAAATGATGTCTAGATTTTAACAGTAGGTATAACTAATTTCACAATTAACTACCTAGTCAAATTGACATGGGCTTTTGTTATATCGTCATTTTTTTAAATAATTGAGCAATCGAGTCGTGACTCTGACTTACAATAGCCATTTTTATCGCTAATCCTTTTACTTTTCTTATCAAAGTAGTTACTAAAGCTATGGAAAGTAAAACCGAATATAGTATTATTCAATTCTAGAGAATTTTGATGTACCTAATGTCGTCCCACCTCTGCTTCTAATAGTCAGATCAGATAGCATTATTATAAAAACAATTAAGTACTTTGATAAATAACTAAGTCAAAGAGGCTCGTCAATAATACATAGATCTAAATTCTAAATTAATCTTCTTACGACCGGCGCTGCCAACGTAGTAAGAAGATGCGGAGGCGTCTGGTGGTAGGGTGCCGGAAGACAGCCGGTGAGAGCTCACCCTTTAGCAGCCAGTCGTACTCGATGTTTCACAATTGAGGTCTTAATACGGAGCCCTGTTTTCACAGGTGTTTCCACCGTACGATGCACCAATCCATCTGCCTCATTCTGATTAACTATGCTAAAAGCATGTTTCATGGTAAGAAAATCCAATAACTTGTTTCAGGTAGGTAGATGTAACTTTTTCTGATAGACATTTCAGTTTCACTGTCAATTATAAGGTGGCTAAGACCTGTCACAACTCACAACTAGGTAGATCTCAAAGTGCTACAAGAATGAAGTTAATAGTTACTTTTCATCCAAGATGGGTGCGGATCATTATTAAACGTATTTTAGGTCATTACTGTTAAGTTAGATATCAGGCAGCGCCTAGTACCTTGGCTTCCTAAAATTTAAATGTCCCCTAATCGGTTAGATGTCACTTAAAGGTGGTGAAATGAAAACCTGACAGTTAGTGTACCTTAGCTTAGAGATTCCTTTAAATTAAAGATGTGGGTGAAAGTGGGCGCATTATTCCTTCTGTTAAGACTCCGTTAGGTTGCCAATTGCAATTCCGGTGATCGGTACATTGTATTCGGATGTCATAAAAGATTATAGTGACTGCCACACACGAATTAACTTTCAAATGATTCGGTAGGATATCGTCATGGTTCGCGGCATTACATTAACATGTTTGAGTCGCCGGCTGTGTGATTAGCCACGGCAGATTATCACACGACCCTGAGCACTGCGAATGCCGCATTATCCACAATAAGATTGCCGATTATTATTTTTCTGCAGTGTACCCTTACCTACTTAATTATACAAAACTGCGATTTATTATACAATGAAAAATACTTCAGTAATGACTTTTTTAACTCGTCGAGTACCGGTTTTATAGACACAATTAAAGAACAATAGGTCGCGGTCACCGGTGACCGCTTGGTGTTTGACAGTTTAACAACCCAAAGATCATAGAACAAGATTTTGAGAAAATCCCAAGATCGAAGATGGATAGGACGAATCAAAGCTTTTTTTTCTAGGTAACAAAGAAGTTAGTTATTATCTATATACCTTGAAAATTTTCTTTGTGTGTTGGAAAAAGGCGATAGGTTATAAAACATCACGCTACATCCAATAGGAGCCGACCAGCGAGTGAAGCCGCGCGGGAGTAGCTAGTTTTCCATAACACTTGCATGGTAAAGTCAAGTAGGTCATTAACTGATACACCTGATGTAATTAAAATAATTAATTTCATTAATGGGTACTCAGAGTCATTTAATGCCTACTTAACCCAATCCTTAGCAATTGGGTACTTGCCAACTAGTCAAATTCAATACTTTTTTTCGAACGAGTTTACTATGAATTTTGTACGAGATTATGAATTGTGACGTTTTTTTTTGCATCTAGCAGCATACTTATTTCTTAAATATTTGCTGGAACAGTCGAAATAATTTATTTTTCATTAAGTAAAGTACCCAATTCTTTTTGAAACAAAATCGTTACTAGGAATAGTTTAGGTAATCATTTAATGTCTCTGAGTATCGCAGTTAGATACCTATTTAAATCGCAGATAGTTAATTAACCAGGTCTTTAGCATTGCCGGTTATATTTAGTAATGTCGAGTGTTTTTAACTGCTTACTACTGCTAATTGTAAAGGCAATTTTTGCATCTAGTATAACAAAAATTCAGAACAGAATGATGTCAGTCACTAAATGTTTACTTCAGCTGTAGACAGTGTAGACATAGGTAATTGTGTATTATTTTACAGTGTGTGGCGCCAATGTGAATCTGTCCATTAGCTTTTTATAACTGTGTGTAGGATAAACAAGACTAGAGAGCTCAGAAATGGGGCCATGGCCGTGAAATAACTCCACTTGGCAAAAGATGTTACTCGAACATTTTTTTGTTCTTTAAATATTGCAAGTCTTATCATAAGTGACTGATAATTGGACTAAAAAAAGTAGACCTGGCTCTTGGACTAAAAATAGTCCAAGAGCCAGGAACTATCAAAGTTCATGAAATCATTTTAATAAGATTACAAAGCACACAATGTGAGTTTTTTGCATGCCCTAAAAACATCATTAATTTACTTAAATGTTTATAACTATATCATTATCATTTTCACGCATCATTATAAAGTAAATTACACACTACACCACACTAAGTACAAAATTTAATAAAACACCGAAATAATCAATCAATCTAAAAATCTAGGTAGGTCACGGGTGTATCACCATTAAAGTATCAAGGAGGTCATTAGATAATAGTGATATCAGATTTTATATATGTAGTAGATATAATCTAACTAGTAGTATTGATTACACTTTCATTTGTTGAGCTTCTTTCAAGTCAAGGCTATGTGTTAAGTGGAGTAGTTTACACAACATACTAACTAGTGTTTTTATTACACGGTAACACTAATCTAAGCAGTTATTAATTGGATTTAGTAAATACTTTATCTAATATAGCTTTAATGCGAAGTAGCATAGGTTTGTCTAAAAATGTAGAATTGAGGTAAGTGGAATTTTAAGGTAGATATTTGATGTGACGGATTATTTATTTATGCTCTGTAACTTCAAGTAAATATTTAAAAAAAACCATTTGTACGCATATGTATTAGTTATTTCTACATAGAGGTGTGAATGTTTTGTGTATTATTATGAATATTTATCATTTAGCTAAGTCAATTAAATTAACAAAATTGTAAATGCCCCAATAAGCCATCAATATTGTTAATTTTAACAAAAGATTGCCATCAGCTAGATTGTTTGTTCGCCGTCCGGTTTTCTATATAAGGTGTCTTACTGTGCAGAGCTATTTTATTGTCCAAATAATAGAATAAGAAAACTACGACAGTAATAAAATAAAATATATCAAAGAATTTAAGTCATGAATTAATGTTCAGGTGTAAAAAGTATGCAGTATTTATAAATCAGATGAGATAACAAATTACTGTTTTGATACTGATAACAGATTGCAATTATTTAAAAACATAATAGTAGGAGAGCAATACAGTGAAGAATAAAGATTCCTATGAAAAACCTCCACAGACCAGTTTTGCAAGTTCTAAGTTAATTGTGTAAGTCATTATATCACAGCACTGCTTAATGAGAGTAATAATATTTAACATGTAATACTAATTTACTTTCTCAGTCATGCTTTATGATTATTTACAATTTATTAGTTCCATAATCATAACAGACTAACCACAGTGTAGCTTACTCTAAAGCTAAATATGTACACAACATATGACTCACCTTTTTGACAGTCTCCAGCTTGTGTTTGACTTCAGGGTCAGCTCCTGGTGCCAGGGCCACAGCCACAAACTTGTCCGAGCTCTCAGCCTTCGGGCCCGCCGGTGACACGTCTTTATTGGCTGCATTGTTCCCTGCCGCAGGCTCCTCAATCGCATCTACTGGCGGCTTGCTGGGCCCTCGCGAAGACGACACAGAAGGTGCTACGTCAAACTGAGGCCTCTCTAACACTTTCATTCCCATATCCTCCTCTATCTTAGCTCGTAGCCGGTTCCTGTCTTCGACTACGTGAGGATCATCACCTCCTTCACCATGGTGAGCCATCCCAATCACAGGAAAGTCACCGACATCGTTTTGTGCAAGAGGAGGCGGCATGAGCAGCTCTGGGCCAGCTTTCTGAATTCTTTTGTATACATTGTAAACACTATCGTTCACACTATTTGAACTTTTAAACTCTGGCAAGTAGAATAATGCTCCTAACCACACGATCCCGAATGTCAAAAGTACAGAAACAATCAAATATTTTTCTCGTAGGCGGAACGAACGCCGAGAAATGGACGGTACAGGAACTCCATTTACAAATCGCTGATAGGTAGGTAAAATCCCCGTCATGTTTACGTAAACACAGAACCTACACTTAAAAATCTAAATAAATAGTGACAGTTTCCAGACAAACGACCCGTCACCCGTGGTCGCCATTAAAGAACTGCCAACTTGAAGACCTCCTCAGTGTTACAAGCTATAACAACCAAAATACCCAACTACGGCAAGTAACATCCAAGTTTATTTTGAGTTGAAACCTTCACTCATTTTATTAAATTATTATTTCAATATCTACGTTAATTTACGATTTTGTGTCAAATTTATAATTAATTCAGTTCACTTTACATTTAAGACTTTGATTTTTATTAGGTAAAAGAAATAACTTCTCTGGTGATTTGATGAACCTTCATATAGTGTGAATAAATCTTAAAATCGAAGAGAGTGACGTTAATTTATTTAATAAAGTTTTTATAGTTCACTTGACTTGTAACTCCTCATTAGAGGGAATTGTCAAAGAATCTGGTATCACCAAAAACACAGTTAGTGATACCACTCCATAAAAATAAAATATTTTTAGTAAACTTAAATACATTTTATGTTACATTGAAATTATCTTTATATCTAAATTATGGCCAAAAGAATATCAAACTACTACAAAAAGTGTTTTATAAATAAAGAGCTCTTTAATTTTCTACCAAATATTGGATTGCCAACTCATTTATGAATGCGTGGCGAGGCCCGCGAAAGCTTAAACTTTCATGCGGTTATTTGATTATTTTATAAATATTTATCCGTCACAATCTGTCATATTAAAATATTTTTAATCAGTTTTTAAGGGCCTTTATAACGGAAATAACCCACTTGATTTTGTCCTGCAAGCTTGATCAGTCTATATATACGAAAACTTAGAAAAACTAAAGCTTCATTTTTACACACTACTGCCATCTATCACTTTATGTATAATTTACCTATCTAGAGTACTTAATTTGAAGTTTTAAAATGTAGCTCTAGATGGTGTTGTTAGTTGGGTCAGTGACCTGAGATTATCACGTAATCTTTTTTTAACACGCATATGTATGCACTTTTTGGTCTATCTACGCATTTCCACGAGGTACGAATTATGTAATAAAATCTAAGCATCTGAATCTGAATTACATACTAACAAGGACGTTGAAATTGAGGTCCTTGATACGCCGTGAACAATTCCGATGACACGATACATTGGATACTAGGTAGTAGGTAGGACCTAGGTACTTTAGATCTCTCGACCGACGGCCGAAATTAATAACCGATCGCAATGCAAATTCTTGGGGTAAGATCACTTCGCTTCGTGGCGGGAACCAAGACAGTTATTCATGTCCCTGGGAAGCGGCCGGACGTCAGTGTTCCGGTGTGTTCCGGTGTTTTCATAGTTTTAGCTACTGTAGATCTTGGCTTACAGGAGTTGCAGCGGTTTTGGCAAGATGTGGCGGGCTTGTCCCATAAAAAAGCTTTATAGGGCTATGGCCTTTCTGTCAAAAACTTATGGATCTAAAGTCTTAAGGATCTAAAGAGAGTTTGAAGGCAAAGAAACAAAGACGTTGCAAACAATACAGTGGAAACCTCAGATATATTAAAGAATTTTTTCAATATTTCTGTGGTGGAAACTGTCGTGCTGGAAACCATATATCAGTGCTGGAAACGAACACCTAGTTGTCATTAAGTTGAAGTGCGCGTACATATGTACTACGCATATGTACGCGCATATAATATAGTCACTATATATGTCGGTATATATATAGTCATAATAATATAGTGCATAGTGCTAAGTAATTGTAAGTAAACTTTTGTGGAATCTATGTAACGATTTCTTCACTTCAGGTTCGAAACAAACTTTAAAATAATACTAAAATAAATAAGTACTTAATTCCTAAAGTTAACGCTAGTTACTATTTATATTATTGTACAAATTAAAAATATTAATATGAACTAAACCAATTAAATATTAATTCATAAGCAAACTCGGGAGGCACAGTATGTTTAGCAGTTCACGACGCGATCGCGTGGAGGGATCGATAGGCGGAGCGCGCAGTAGAATTTTAACTGTGGCAGAGCTAACTGGACGACACTGAGGTCGGACGTGCCGCGTTACTTAAATATTATTTTCTTCTACCTACGTTTATTATATTGAGTCAAGATTATATATCTAGTACTTGCGCGGCTGTTAAAGTTTATAACAATTTATTATATCGTTTTCACCCCGAATCGGGTAAGTGTTGCAAAATTATATCTATTAAGTAAGGCTATCTCAGTAGAATTGTAAATCTGATAAATATGCGTAGGGCTCATTTTCTCATTAAACTACCTTGCTATAAATTAGTGCTTGTTCAATTAGTAGCTTATAGTGTCATATATTTTTATACTGGCTATCTTTCTGCTGCTTTTATGTACATTGACTGCCTCATCATTGATCACTATTTTATGTAATCTTTACCACCTGTGCCTCGTAGTATCACGCTGCTTTTGTAGGATGCACATAGGGGTGTGGCAGTCATGTAATATTGAGGATAGTGTTAAAGTAGAAGGTTTACACTATTCCAGGGTTCACCACTCCGGTGCCGGACTGAGCTGGTATTATTTGGACTACCCTACAACAAACCTTCCATCTACGCTACGACGACCACCGGACTACCCTTGTGGCCGACCACGCATTCGCCGATCTATCAGGGCAGTGGTATTGATTGATGGACTTTTCATGTGTTGGTCTTAGTGAATATTAAAGAACCCACTGTATTTCGCTTGTTCTTATATCTTTATATTTTATTATACCTTCCTATTATTATAGCAGCTGTTTTATTCATCTAACGAGGAAAAGTTGTTACACTGGCGCCCAATAATAGGATATTCCTAAGACCAAACTGCGTGATTAGTGCTTAAACATTTAATAGTTTTCATTGGTGTTGGCTCTTAACCTCATAGTTTTAAGGTTGATTTTACATTGTAACTATAAAGTGTGTGGTCGTACAGTTACTTATGATTACTATCTAAACATATCTCTTACATTTAATCAAATTATATACATTTTTTTTATTAAAATAAATTAGTAACTGCAACTACCACTCATAATCTAACCTAACGTTGGAAAGTCTTGTGTAGTATTAAATACATCATATTGTGGTATCACTGTTGTAACTAGTAGGTACTTTTTATTTTGTTTTTCCGATCACCCTAATTTTTCTCGTTATCATTGTAACACACATAATATTGTAGTGCTTAGAGCTAATTTTGCAACACATATCCGACAAAAATATGTCGTATCCTATAAAATTTCTCTCTTTACAAAAAACGGAATTACAGTACGAGGTAGAACTTCGTGGTGGAGTAGGTGAGTCAGTCCAAGAGCTAAGAAAACAGATCGTTAAATTGTCGCAACTTCTTCCATCCGATGATATTCTTGAGTCACATTTGGATCCTGTAGATGATTTAAAGGAAGTCAAGGAGTCTCTGTTAAAGTCACAAAGTAATTTAACAAATCTTAAAAGCAGGATGGATAAAAATCTATTAAGTAGGACTGAAACATTGCTATATCATATTTACCACCGTATTAATAGAATAGAAATTATCGAAGAGGTACGCGATTTACAAAGTCTGCACTTCCAGTTTAAATTCACAATTAAAGGATTTGTCTACATTGAAACCGTCTGGTTCTAATCCTAAACCTTTAACATCCATCACAGACGCCACACTCGATCCTCCCACCTTATCAGTTGCATGTGAACGTAGCTTATTTGCCGAGATAACCAAACTAAAATATTCTGGAAAAACTTGTGTTCACTCCTTCATCCAAAAAGTTGAGGAATTTGTACAAGCTAGAAGCATCTCTTTCGAAAAAATACTCTCACTTGCGTATGAAATATTCACCGATGATGCACTACATTGGTTCCGCTATAATAAAAATAGAATTAATTCTTGGCATGAGTTATGTGTGCTGCTAAAGGAGGATTTCAGCAGCAGCGACTATGATTACAGACTAATGTCAGAAATTCGGTCGCGTACGCAAGGCGATCAAGAAAATATCACTATTTATTTAGCAATTATGCACGGAATGTTCTCACGTCTTTCGAAACCTTTATCTGAAAATGATAAATTAGATATATTGATGCACAACATTCGGCCCTGTTATGCAAACACCTTGGCTGCATCCCCTTGCATAAAATCTATTGATGACCTCAAATCAGTTTGTCGTAATTATGAAACTATAAAATCAAGATTTTCTCAATTTCACGAACCACCTAAACTAACTAGTAGTACTCTTGCACCCGAGTTTGCTTATAAATCTGATCTTAATTATACTAAAATTAATCAACAAACAAAATATAACAATTACAATAGATCATACAATCAAAAAAATAATTACATTTACACACCTAAACATAACCCCAATTACAAAGAAACACTCAATTCTGATAATGCTAATCTGGGTAAGGATAATGGTATTGCTGCTCTGTCTACTGAAGTACCTAGGACCGTATTTTGTCCCAGATGTAGATCTAACAGTCACTCTCTAGGAGTCTGTAGACAGAGACGCTTCCCTATTTGCTTCCGCTGCGGTAAGAAGGACGTGCGTTTTCCAGATTGTCCTGACTGTAATGGAGTTCATTCGAAGGACGAGCCTCAAAAAACTAAGTAAGCCTGATTGGAGTGACCGTGATAAGGAATGGAGGATTGGTTAACATTTATTAAGAAATTTTCCACCTTCTACTTGGTCGCTTCAGTCAAGGATAAATCGGATAAATCTAATATTGACAGAACTCGACCTTATGTTACCATTAGAGTTTTAAATCAGCCTTTGACGGGTCTCTTGGATACTGGTTCATGTGCTACTATTTTGGGCAATGGATCACATAAACTTATTTTGAATATGGGAAATTCCCATATTAATATGCTGAAGGATGATATTCCTACGCAGTTCGCTACTGCAGGTGGGGAGAAACTTAATTCTATCGGAATTATTCGTCTTCCTGTCCATTTTTTAAACCAAACACACTACATTAATGCCCATGTAGTACCTGAAATTGAAAACTCTTTGATTTTAGGTATGGATTTTTGGCACACGTTTGGACTATTTCCTAAACATTTAGATGTCATATCTTTTCATAAGGACTCTGAATTAGGTTTTCCAACTGATTGTGTTAAGAAATTAAACGCTGTATGTCCGTACGAACATTTGACAGATGTTCAAAAATGTGCTGCTGATAATTTAATTACTCAATTTCACGATATT